CTGTCCTAAAGTAGGCTGGCTGCCCTTCAAGCTGTTCTCTTTGCCAGATTGTCTGATTCTTTTCTAGAACATTTGGCAACTTGTAGTTATTTTCTTTATTTGCCTGTTCATGTGTTTGTTTGTGCTATCTTGTGGCCTTGAGGGAGAAGCCAAGACAGTCTCTATCTTGCTCATCACGGCACCCTAGTGCCTGACACACTGGGACTCAATGCATTTTTGTTGAATAAATGCTTATAATGCAATTAATGTGGTACATACACACACAGAAAAGTTACACAAATGAATAAGCGGAGAATTAAGACTTAACAGATGATTACCTAAAAATGAAACATTCTTCAAACACTTAGTTTTACATGTAGTTCCATTTCCCCCCCAAAAGCTCAGCAAGCAAAAACAAAACATAGAATACCAAAATAAAATTTATAAACATAAAAGGAAATAAAACAGGAACCATAATTTGAGAGTTGTATTTTGCTAGTAATACTTAAGTACCCTTTTTTCCTAATACTAAAAATAAACAGATTTGAGTAATCTATGCATATTTAAGTAATTAAATAAAAACTAGTCGAATAAACTAATACTTCACTGATTTTTATAGGTTAAAAGCTTGAAATTAAATCTTCTCATATACCTATAAATGCAAGTGTAAGTACAAAATTTTACCAGAATTTGGGCATCCTGCAATTGGCGACACTGCACGTGAAGAACAAATGGCTCAAATTTCAAAACCGCATCCCCATTCGCTTTCTTCAGAGCCACAATCTAAACACAGGAGGGGATAACATCAGACACAATGGTAGGCCCCTGTCCTCTGGTGACATTTTATCCCAGAAATAACTTCAATTTTTCCTAGAAACTTTCAGACTCAGCAATAACCTTCCCCTCTCCTTCCTGGCTCTCTTTTCACCAACAATTTATTAACTTTGTTATTTTCTTTAAAGAACAAATTTCCAGTTCTTCCATAAACCTTTTATACCCATTTTCCCCACCATAAATGTACCCTGAAAAAGTAAACTATCACTGTACTTAATGTCCAAACAGAGTTTTCATTAAGGGATGTAGTAGGTAAAAACTGTCCTGGCGGACTGTTTAGATTCTTTGTTGTTAGACTGAAATAGAGACACAAGTAATGTGAGAGAAGGGTCCCAGCACAGCCTGACACCTCCCCGTGTTTGCAAGCAGGCCCTGTACTGAGCGCCAGATCCCTGGAAAGTTAACAAATCACAGTGCAGGCAAAGAGCTCAGAGCACACCCAGAATATTTCCCCTTTAATGTGTGCACTGGGCACAAATTAACTTTCCCTGGACCTTCTTAGCTTTAGGGAGTCCTTGGGCATGTCCCCAGCTTTGCATATTTCAGACCCCATGGAGCATTGGAGTCCTTCTATTGCAGCTCCAAGTGGGGTGTGTGCAGCCATTCTGGCCTTGTCAGCTGCAGAATGGAGCTGAGCCATGAGAATTGACACACTGCAAAGGGCTGGATCTTGTGTACGGTCTCTCTCCTCCAGCTGTAATTAAACATCACTCCACTTGAGCCTCATGTGCAAACTGTCTGTTCTTGGTGACCCAGTCCCCTACCAGTCTCCACCCTGGACGGCACTTACCTGTCTTGTGACCCTAGCTGCACCCATGGTATATAGTCTCTCCTGTGGCAGTCTGACCACCCAGTGAAACACGTAATGTTATGTCTGAGCTAGAATTTACAAAAGACAGTTATTATTTCTGTCTGCCTGGCATCCTCTCTCCTCCATACCATCTAATTCTGGAAGGACTGTCCATCATGACCCTGTCACTCATCACACTACCTAACAGAACATGACAGGTACCAGGTGCCTATGTCTGACTGCAAGTACCACCCTATTCCACCGGCAAAAATAACTGACCTACGAAAGAGAGCCAAAGAAGTCAAACAAGAGAACTCAGAGTCCTTCTCTGGGAATGATATGTGAATCTCCAGAAATGGGCGTCTTTTTCTGCAGGAGTTGCTGGCAGCTGTCATTCCTGCCACAAAGAAGGACGTCTGCAGCAGAAGAGGGAAAGGGCGAACTGCAGAGGGAACCACCACCAGAGTTGGAGACAGAGTGAGGACGCTGAGGACCACATCTGAGCACCTGACCAGGCAATACCGGACTCCAGCTCTCTGCTGTACTTTCTGATTAAATGAACTGTCTTTTTTCCATAAGATAGTAATGAATCTTTAAATTCACTAGGGATGAAAAATGCCTAGCTAATACAAAATTACATGAACTCACCTAAACACTTTAATTTAGGAAACTAAATAACCCAGCACAGATGGGAGGATTTTCAAGAAGCAATCCAGGTAAGTGATGTGTAGTTTATTTACATTAGTAAAGGCTGATAACACATAGATAGTGCTAATCCCCTTCATCTTTTATAATTTGTTCCAGGTTACAGGGTTATCAAATGCAGAGTTGAAATTCAAAATGTGAATCCAATGTGGGCCCAATGTCCATGAACTTCCTGCTACGCCCAAGAAGTATTTTGCTGAGCAGAAGTAAGTAATGCTTGCATACATATTTATATTTCCACACTTTTATCTCCTACAACCCAAAGAAGCCACTGTAATGAAAGCTTGCTCGGTTTTATAATCTTCAGCCATTTAAATTATGCACATAAATCACCTTGAATTTTCTATCCTTTTAATATTATTAAGGTAACTGTGAATTTAAAAGTTTATTTCTAAATTTATATATAAAAACTTACCACATCATCTTTCACACAAGGTTTGTGGGTAACCAGTAGCCAGCAACAGTTTTTCTTCTGAATCTCGAAACCATTTATACCCTAAAACAATAAAAGATATAATTCAATTTAAACATATACTGTTTACAAAAATGGTAAGCACAATACATAGCACAGAGTGGGATTTCTTTATACAAACCAATTGTGACTTTTACGTATTACGGAAAACAATTCAATATGTTTTCAGGCCACAAATAAAAATGAACCCAAATAACTTGAGATAGAAAACAAATTATTTGAAAGGTAAACATTTTAAAATATTTTCTGAAATATGGTCATCATTTTGTGATAGGGGATTACTACCAGTGGTAACTCCAGCAGCATGTAAGATGCTCTCCCACTGTCTTATTTGGCTAACATTATTTAAAAAAGATTAATTTCTTTTGTAGGACAGCAGTGGCCCAATCCTACATAAGACCTACCAATCTTTACTGCTACCTGTGATCTTCACACCTTTATAATACCTCCCTGTTCTCTATGGGCATAAATTTGTGACCTCTGGATTAGATTTTATATAGTCCCAAAGGGTGGTGCTAGGACTGAAAGGTCAAAGTTTCAAGAAGACAAACATTTTAGCATTGATTTAAACTGGACAAGTGTTTATTTGCAAAGTTCTATTAGGTACTTTGGGTATACACAGCTCCTACCCCCAAGGACACTGGAAATAGGACGCAGGAAACCACAGGGACAGAAATCACTATACTTCCACAAAGTAACTATTTATACAGTGGGTCCAAAGGAGACTCTGCTGTCTGTCTTTAGAACCAGGAAAACATGTACATGGTCTGAGTAACTTTGTTTTCATTATACGAGGCCTGTGACTTATGGATCTAATCTTGTGCTGGCCGCTCTAAATCTCAGAGCCAAATGTGTAGACCACCTCTAACAAGTTTACAGGATCTAATGATATGGTTTGGGAACTAATGCCATCACCAACTTCATCTTATCTATATTCCCTTTCTCCTGATTTTCCCACTTTTTTATTTTTTCCTACATTGCCTTTTTATAAGTTGCTCTGAAGTCCATACTGAAATAAGGCAGAGTAAGAATACAAGGTACAAGATAACAAGCAAAATGAGAAGTGGTTCAGGT